GCAGCCGCGGCGCGCACTTGATTGTACGCACTGTATATTCAGTACACTGACCAACCTTCTAAGCATGACTGAACATACATCACAACAGCCACATGAAATGTTTAATAAGCCTTGACAGCTTACTGTGCCACTTTCATCACTACTGAGGCACAGGAGCAATCCATCTAAACTGGTATATGGTTACAGTTTCACCAAGGAAGGTGACTATCCTGTAATTATTTCTTTTTACTTGTACAATAAGCATGGAGGTACGATAACTCAGTAGGTAAAGTAACAAGCTGGGCGGCCTATGTTCAATTGTCTGCATGCAAGACTTTTCTCTTCTTCAGTGTCCAGACCAGCTCTGGAGCCCACCTGGCCTCCTATCCAATGTGTACCAGGGCCTCTTCCCCCGGGCATAAAGATGACCACTCACCTCCATCTAGTGCCAAGGTCAAGAATTGTGGAGCTATACCTCCACTCCATGTCTTCATGGCATAGTGCTTAATTAAGCACGGAGGCAACATTACCTATTTTATGATGAAATATTGAGATAAGAATGCCTACATCATTCCCAGCTCATTTTTCACCAGCCTCTTACCATTACTTGGTAGATCCTTTGCTGTTGATACAGCAGCTCTAAAATAAATATACATCTACATCCCCAAGTCAATTGTATGACTAATCAGTTTTGTTCTAATGCAAAATCAGTTCAGATACCTTCCCAAGTTTAATGTACCAACTCCCACCCTGCTGACTGACTGACCCTTCAATGCAGACCCTTGTTCCTGGGTGACATCAATAAGTTTTCCCAAGCTGTCTCATGTTCAGAATTAAGGAAGGTACAATAATCTGATATTGTAAGGCATTTGACTGACGTGTTGCCAGGCAACAGCTCTGTAAACATGGTCTGACATACAACAGTAGACAAGTCTGTATTTTCTATGTTGTCTGCGCTGAACATCGGTGGAACAACATGGTTATGCAACCTGCTTCTAGGCAGTGGCTCAGTAAACACATTTCCAGGTATTGGACCGTTCTATGAAAGCGGTGACAACAACAACAGAGATGGTGTTTTCTGTGGGGTCTGTGCAGAATGCTTATAAGAGAAGTGACTGCAGAAACAAGCTCAGTTCAGGGCAGATATGAGTCAGTCATACGCTTGAAGAGTAACAGATGGACGTCACTTGAGTTCCCAAGTTCCAAGGGAACAACAGTGTGGCTAGAGGAAGTTACATATGCTGTTTACACTGATATTGGGAGTGTGTGATTGAGACTTTTATAATTCCTGTGTTATAGATATGTGAAGACTAGTGAAGAGAGACTGAAGAGATTAGCACAGAGTGCTTTGTAGTGTGAAAATCAGTAATAATTTAATAATTAATTGTAGTTACAACCTGTAGGTAGTTAATATATCCAATTACCAATCCAAACCCCATATTTAGTCACCAATACATGTGACAATATTCATACCTAGTTAACTGTTGTTTTTTGTCAATATCAACATCAAGGTTTGCACCTTTCAATCCATTCTGTTCCTCTATAAGATAGTCCAGTCCTCCCAGCATAACTTTGGGTGTCCAATGGATCTTATTCCCTTAGGCGTATAGCCCATAACTGTTTTGCAATTACCATGTTTCTAGATATTGTGCTGACCGATGTTTCAGAGGAATGTATCACCTACATCTTCAAGGTAGAAGAAAAAAAGAGCAACTGCTCACACTGGTTCCATGCTCATGGAATTTCTTCTCTTTTTTCTTCTACCCTGAAGATGGAGGAGATACGTTCCTCCAAAACACCAGTCAACACAATATCTACACGGTGCCACATCCCAGAAGACCGCATTCTTCACCTCGTTTCTAATTTAAACCTTTAATGTGCATCCCACCATGTTCCTAAAATTGAAGTTTTTGTAAAGGTAAAACGTAAAGTTATCCCTGTACTTAACTAATTTAGCACTACGCCATGAAGATGTATGGGGGAGTGGATGTATAGACCCATGTTTTCTTGACCTCAGCACTAGTTGGAGGCGAGTGGTCAGCCTAACGCCCCTGCTGCTTTATGGGAAGGAGCCCACAGTACCCACTGGATAGGAGGTGCAGTGAACCCCACAGCCAGTCTGGATGGCATTGAGAAGTGAAAATTCTTCCCCCACCAGGACTCGAACTCCAACCCCTTAGCCATCCAGCCCATAGCCAGTGCTATACCAACCACACTATCCTGGCTCCCCTGCTTTATTTGTGCTTTAATTAATTACATTTCTTATCAGTTGTAATCTATATGATTTTAAAAATGCTTTCCATTCTCCATCACTGCTCATTAGCCCCAGTGAAGCACTGTTGTGCTATCATCTCTTTGACATATGAAGGAGAATTCTGTCATGTTTCTGTGTGGTCACCCATGATCATGTCATATGATTTATCAGACTGTTTAGCAGTACGATTACTGTAAATACCTTTAAAAATATAACTCATACAACAAATAACACCAATTCTGTATATTAACACTAATAATATTATATGTTAAGTCAGTTCCTTAAGGATAACTGCATATCCAAAAACTAAGCAACATCCAGAATACCCTATAACTTTCATTTCCATATAATACTGACAGAGTATTTTTGCTTAAGTCATTTTTCTCTTTGACTGCTGGCAAAGATAGACACATGATTTTATATCTGATATATATTATATCATTATGAAATATACCTCAGAAGCAGTGCAGAGGTAACTATAAACAGAATCTAACATGAAGAAAGCAGTCTTCTGGGATTTGGCACTGTGTATATGTGGTGTTAACCGACGTTTCGGAGGAATGTATCGCCTCCATCTTCAGGGTAGAAGGAAAAATAGTCATAGTCACCACTGTGAAAACCTCAAATCTCACAAAGAATCTAACATTTATCAATTTTAGAAATTTTCAGACACAACAGTGCCAGATGCCCCATTTTCCTAGAGGTTACTGAATTGTATTTCTTTCTAACACATTCTTCATCATTCACGAATATAGAATGATTCCCTAATATTAACGAAAATGAAAATAAAAAACAACAGTGTCCGCAAATGAACATGTATTTACACCTGGACAACTTTATATTGCTTTTTTAAAGAATGAGTCACTCTTAATGCATAAAAGTCTAGAGGCAAAGATTGACAAGCACTCCTGCACTGAAATAAATACTTCTGTAGTAAACAATAACTGCTGTTACTGGGCTGTGACATTTACATCTGATACATTACTGTATCATATAATGCTAGGACTTGTGAATAATTTGTGCATGTGTGTTTTGAGAGAGTCAGTTTAAAAGTCTGACCAATATTTCCTTTACTGCATACATTATACTCTCAAAATTTATATACCGTATGAATTATTACTGAAAATAATACTTAATTCCAAAATCAATTCATTTTCTCATAAAGAAGTGTTGCATGGCTGAATTTGTAATTATGTAGCTACAACATCTGTAGTGTAGGAAAAGTTGTCATAGTTACACACAGGCACATGATAAATAATAACAGATTTTTACATACTGCTAACAGTGCTTCTGAATTATCTGATATAATTTGCCCACTCTTGCCTGTTTTGTCATTTGATGTATTAGCATACAGTCTTAAATTTCAGATTCTCCCGAATTCCAGCCCACTATTCTGATGATCTGCAAAAGATTATATCACTTCTGCTTAGCGTCGAGCATAAGTTCCGTCCTACCATTGAAATGATTTTGCACCATCCTACAGTGGTAACACACATTGCTCAGGAAACTTTCAAAACTATGACTAAAAGGCCTGAAGGCAGCATCACTGAATTGCGTGGTAATAATAAGGAAGTAAATGGTGTTCCCAATATCATACAGAATTTGCATGACCTCCATTTTCCATCTTCATGCAGAACTCCATTTCCAGATGAAACTGATAGCAAAAACTGCAAGGAAAACACTAGTGAAAGGGTTCATGATGTATGGTTGAACAGGTTTCACATCTTGAAACAGAGGGAGTCATCTCTGAGATTAAAGGAATTTGCCATTGATGAGAGAGAGAGGGCTGTTACCAAAAAAGAGAAACAGGTGGCACTGCTAGACAGATTGATAAGGGAAAAAATGACAAGAGCTGATGTATATTTACGACAATGCAGGGAAGCTCGATCTGTGGCCAGCGTCAAGAACTTACAACATCGGCAGTACAGCACAGCCAATATAGATCTTGATACATCTCTCAGTGCAGATCCTGGTGACACAAGCATACTTCCCACATCGACCAAGTTGAACCCAGAATATGTCACAAAGCCTTCACCATTTGTAAGGGTTAATTCTGAGAAACATGTTCATTTTAATACATTGCCAATTACAAAACCAAAAGTGAAACAATGCAGGGATCTTCAGCCTCCTACCAAACAAGCCATACCTCAGTCTGGCCTCTCCAGAATGAGTAACCAAGTATTACATGACATACAAGAACATATCCCATCAAAGGTTTCTAAAATACATGATAGAAAAGAATTGCAGGAAAATAGGATTAAAAATCCCTTTCATGGCCTAGAAACAGCAAATGAGGTCAACTTTAGAAATGATGTTCTGATTGCTCTGAACTCCAAGCACACCAGCAGAAGCAGCAATTCAAATACGATAAGACCTCAATCTTGCATGGAAGATCTAACTGTATGGCTTGAAAATAAACGACATGCTTATCATCTTATTGGTACTGTGGGAACACAAAGAAATGCAGACAAGGAAAACACAGCTGTTAGGAGTGCAGAAGTTCAGGAACAAAGAGTTACAAAATCTGTTGGTGTGTCTGCATCTATATCATCGGCACACAAAAATCTTGTGGGTTCACTTTCAAGCTTCAGATAGATTTATGAAGTGCTGGTATCTATGTATATACATTTATGTTGGAACAGATGTGTTGTTAAATTGCTTTTCTATCTAGAGCATAATTATTATGTTTATTGGAACATCTGCCCATCTCTTTAATGACTGCTGACATACCTAACATCTTAACAGTTTTAAAGTTACGTTCTGTTTTATTGTACTGCCGACTTATTATCAAAGGATGAATGATCACTGTCCATATTTTTGACTATAAGAGGTCAACTAGTAATAACCAGTGTCCTTCCCCCCCCCCACATATTTATTCAGTGTTGTTACATTCTGTAAAAGTGGCCTCTGTAGTCTAGAGGTAATGTTCCCACCTCATGACTCGTGATACGCGGGTTCAAACCCGGCGGAGGTCATCGAATTTTTAAGGGCGGAAAAATTCAGGGAACAAGTCCTTCGGGACGGACTTTAAGCCGTGTGTCCCATGTCGTAGCTTTACGGCACGTAAAAGAACCTCATATCTCCAAAGGAGGTCACTGAGCCAAATTCAAGGACGTTTCCCGCCCAACACGTAGTCAACACCTCTGATAGATGAGGAAAGCATTATAGATACCGCCAAGCTAGTGGAGACCGAACTCGCTGGCTCGGTCGGGACTGATGGTACGCACCAATATCGGTAGGATATAGAGACTGGCAGACTATCATAGAGGGAAGCACAATGGACCAATACTGGTCTAAGTGCATGGGGAAACCCACCCTCTCCAAATAATAATAAAAAATACATTATGTAACATGTTTTCATTATATTCCATAAAATAGTCAAGTTCTCAGCAAAGTAAAACTAAAATATGAATTATCAAATCTACAGCAACATTTAGAAAATGACAGAACAGTTCTAGCTGAAGAGTTATCAGGAAATTTTAACTTTTATTATATTCTGAAATGTTAAATTCATTGCTCACTCCCATTAATCCTAAGGCTTAAAATATGTGCAGCTAAATTCCATTCCGCCTATTCAGGGTGTATCAAAACTCAATGGCAAAACTTCAGGATTGGACTCCTTTATAGAGTAAAGGAAAAAAAAAGTGTATGACAACATGGTTCCGGAAATGCATAATTACAGAGTTATCCAACACTGTTACACTGAATATGTCTGTAATGCCAGCTAGGAACACTCTGGTCAGGTATCAGAGGAAATGTTCAATATATGATATAAACTCCGTCCTAAGTGCAACAATTTATTGTAGGTCTTTCGTCTTGCTTTCTTCTACACTACATGTTTCGGCCGCAAACGGCCATCATCAGGTGTATACACTCATGTAGCTGTTACACTGCACTTAGTTTAAAATTTAAAACACGGGTCTTCCCAATTGTTCCCTTCGTCGTTGCTAACAGAATCTACTTCGCTGATATTTGTCTGATTCGTGCATTATCTTTGTTACCTACACACATCAATTTTGACTTTCATGAACTGGCACTTTTAAAATCTTCAGGTCCAATTTTAAAAATTCCTTTAAAATTCTCAGGGTTACTCGCCCTATGTCTATAGTGCTGCAGAGGCTACTTCTTGTTTTCGGCACTGTACAGGTGCTATTCTGTGTAGGCTCCGTGTGCGTGCCGCTGCTTATCTTTACTACGTGTAACAGCTACATGAGTGTATACACCTGATGATGGCAGTTGGCGGCCGAAACATGTAGCGTAGAAGAAAGCAAGAAGCAAGCTGAAAGACCTACAATAAAGTGTTGCACTTAGGACAGAGTTTATATCATATATCGTATAGAGTGCAACAGGATGCTTAAATATAATATTGGAAACGTTCAAGGTGACCTCCTCCTGCCTGAATACAGGCCTCCACTCGTCGCATTGAGTGCCGCACATGATCAAAAATGCCTGGTGTAGTGCGTACTGTCTGCAGCAATGGATTCCTTCAAATGTCTTTCAGTCTGGCCATCTGTGCATTGGGTACCGTGCCTGATACAAGCGACGAGCCTCCGAAGCATTAACATCCACCAAACCATACATGTAATGCATGCTCGTGAGTTCTTCGTTTGTGTACATTACATATCACTTCACAGCAGACTGCAAACAACATTTAATAATCACAGATAACAGACATCATACACACCTTTTGGATATGGCTACATCTACTTAACTGGAGACGACAGGATATCATCTGCACGTCCTAGAGGCTATTCAGGCCCACATCAAATTGATTTACAACATGATTACTTGTGTAACAATTGTAACCGGTGTCTCGTATTTTTATTCTGGCAAACAGAATGTGTCGGCATGCACTCCGTAAATTACATGCTCGGGTAACTGTAATTATGCGTTTATGGACCCATGTTGTCATACACTTTTTTTCTTCTCTCTATATGAGGAGTCCATTCCTGAAGTTTTGCCACTGAGTTTTGATACACCCTGTATAGCCCTCATGATATATTTTTGGCATAGGAATAACTTTACTTTTATTTATGTACTGAACTAGTGATTATCAGTCACCTTACTACAGGCCGTTTGAACACACTGCAGTGCAGTACATGTAACAGCAGTTCTGAAGCAAACATTTCTCAGAGCTGTCATATTCTTTTTTAAATAACATTTTGACACAGATGTTGAAAAGTATATAGGATATTTTCATCACCATATGTGTGAAAATTTGTTTAGTTCTACTGTGCACAAAGGCAGGTGATGAAAAAGAAGTTGGACTCTAGAACAAAACTTGAACCACAAAGCTAATTACTTTTTTCAATATATTTCTTTGTATTATTCCAGAAAATGACTGGTGGCCATTTCTGAAAATCACTGCCTTAAATATGTCCACACGGACTTTTCTTTCATTAACTTCATTAACACTGTTAACAAACATTATTGATTTCTACAATTTCCATAAAATAGGTGAAATTTTTTCATTTTCACATGGGCACAAACATATACCAGTGCATACACTTGTACATTCTGAGCAGTCATTTCACAATTCTAAGAAAATTTGGAACAAATAGTGTAGGTGTTATGTTTTAAATGAAATGAGTATATTTAAAGAAATGATCACTGCTTTGTCAAAGGAAAAAGTGTGTTTGACACTGGGCCACAAGGGGAGAGATGGTACAGCACAGCACTTTTTGTGTTTTGAAAATGGTATCTTTTAAAAGTTTGAAAACCACCAGTCTAAATAGTAAAAATGAAGTTCCCCCCCCCCCTTTCCTTAAATTATGTCTTCTGTTACTTAGGAAAGATCTGACACTAACAGAAAATTAAGGGCCACGCTATAGCTCAAGCAGTTAGTTGCTGTCTTCCCACCACGGCAGCCCGGGTTCGATTCCGGGTCTGGTCAAGCAGGATTTGTGGTGGACAAAGTGGCGCTGGGGCAGGTTTTCTCCGAGTACTTCGGTTTCCCCTGCCAATCATCATTCCACCAATTGCTCCACAATCACCCTCACCTATCATCTGGGGCTGGTACAATAGGCCGGAAGTGGCCGCAGTACAAGGGACTTAGTCCCACCTCACTAGCAATAAAAAAAAATTAAATCTAGGAAATATTACACATATACTTCTAACAAATTAAATATATGATACTGAATTTCTTCTTTGGTCTGCTTTCCTGTTTCATACACAGATTAATAGCTACACTTTCTGAAACATATCTGAAATCTTCTATGGAAAAAGGAAATAGCCTATATTCAGTCATGACTAAGAAAAACTGAATGAAGCAGTTACATGCTCCAGAAATACTTATGTTGATGTCAATATATTCTTAACAGTTTTCACAATGAAGTAATAACAAAGAACATATCTGGAGTACACCTCTTCACTTCATTTTAATTCAAAGTGGTTGAAAGAGGTAAGAGAGGAGGATGGACTGTGAAAACATGGCCACAGACACAAGTTTGTCTTTAAACTGGGAGCATTCATACATGTGTATGTTCATAAAATTCTTCCCAAAGTCACATACCAAACAGCCAATCTTTCATTTACAAGATTCAAATATTGCCAGAAAAACTACAAACCCAACTGCTTTCAGCATTCTTAGAAGTCTTGATTCCACTTAGATAGGCAAGTGTTTTCGTATCGTGTCTACATGAAAGCTTTCCATTGTGCCTCTTTCAAAAAGAAAATGAAATGCTTAAAGTACTGACCCGTACCATAGAATGTACAAACAGGCATATAATTTGGAAAAATGGCATGACTTAGTTAAAGTATCTCCAGATATGTTATGAACTTGGAATGTTTCTTAAGTACAGTATATCTCCACTTCTATGAACCGTTACTTCACAGATTTTATGTTTCAACTACCTCAGTTTCTGTAAAGGAACATATAGAAATTACCTCATGTCATAACATAAATTTAGGTAAAAGATATTTTACCAGAAATGAATAAATATTTTTACTAGTGCAATTCATGATGTTTTTATTTGTGTATTAAAATGTCTACAATTTTGTTAGGAAATGCTATGTACAGGCTTCAACATAGTGTCTTCAGGGCCATGACGGTTTTTCTCCTGGCTTCAGTTCTCGCCCAAACAGAGCACTCTTGTCTCGAAACCTTATCATGCGTTCTGTTTCCATTCTGTCTAACCACGAACCAAGCAAAAATCCACTCAATGGTAAAAGACCGTATAAATACTGACGTGTAATACCAAATACAGCCATAATGGGAATATGTTCTATGAAACTGCCGTGTCTAGCTCAGCTTCTGCTTTGAGTTCAGCACGTTGCCTTTTCCACTTCCTAGTATGTGACCAGTCCAAATATATAGAACCAGCTGTGAATGTTGGAAATAAGGTAACAACCCAATATTTCTTCCAAAACCGGCCAATTGCCATCAAACTGTAAAAGAGAAAAAAAAAATACAACACACTACTCACAACATAGCCTTTCACCTCTACCATCAAAAGTGGTTTATGATCCTTTATTCTAACAGAAGGTGAATGCATATGTCAGGAAATGTAAATGTAAATATTTCCATGCTCACATATATTTAAGAACTAACAGGATAGCTTCATGCGGGGCAGAAACATGGACCTTAACAGTAACGGAACAGAGAATGTTTGAGAGAAAAATAACATGCAAAATATATGGGCTAGTGATGGAAAATAACATATGGAGGATAAGATACAATGAAGAGATAAACACATTACTGAAAGGAGAATATATGGTAAGATTTGTCAAGTCACAGAGAATAAGATGGTTGGGACATATCAAAAGAATGGAAGATAATGCAATGCCAAAGAGAATGTTAAAAGGAAGGCTATATTCCAAAAGAAGAAAAGGAAGACCGAGGATGAGATGGCTAGATGGTGTTAAGAATGACCTGAAGAAGATGGTGAAAGGATGGAAAGAGAAGATGAGGAATAGACAGCA